CATTTCTCTGAGTTCCCTGCTTCTCTCCTGGTTCTGCTTCACGTCCATGAAAAAAATCTGTCCCAAGCTACTGGCCTTGACTGCCTGGCCCTGAGTTGGAGACCTAACCCCAGGATAGCCTAGGAGATGAGACAAATAGGAGGAGCCCACAAGTTAAGATGTAGCTCAACCTTTGACCACTAGAGGTCTCCTGAAAAGCAGTGACCCGTATAACCCGGTTTATCCTCCTTCAAAACCAATAGACTTGTTGCATTGAGACCTGGCCAGACTGCTCTGCTGGAGGCCGCCTTGTGAATAACGCTATCCACCCCCTCACGATGGCGCCAGGCTTGCCAGGGGGAGGGGACTGGGCGGTGGCTGACCCTCGGAGAAGGGCTAGTTTTTCAATCCACGAATCAGTCTCAGATTCTGGGGTCTATCCTACTCGAACCCCATTTCTTGGAACCGAGCAGAACGAGACAGAGCCCCTAACCCCGAAGTCCTCAGGTGGGCATTGCCAAGTCCCACGGCCTTCCAGCACACACGGCTAGCCAAGGGACCAAAGTGCAGCATCACCTAGCATCTGATCCACCGGCAGGCCTGAATCCTCCCTTCCTCTCCCGCCCCCTCCCCCCCCCCCCCCAAATCTTAGCTCCTCTCGTTCCTCCCCGCCCCCTTCCCCTCCTCCCATTGCCTCGGGGTCGCCAAAGTGATCCGAGTTTAACCAGTGGAAGGAGATAAGGGAATCATTCTGTTCTGATCCATGCCTGTATTTTCTGGAAAAATTAGAGGCTTCTAGCTGGAAGAAGAAAGAAAGAAAAAAAAAAGGGGGGGGGGGGGGGGGAGACGAGGGGGAGCAAGAAAGGAAACAGCCAGGTTGAATTCCCAGTCTTTATCAAGCAATTCGCTCACCAATGACAGGGAGCTGCAGTGGCAGATTCGAGCCACATGCGGTAGTGTGTAGCAATTAGTAGATAAAATGCTGACTAAAGTGCTAAAACATGAAGTATTATTGTAGCCAAGGTCAAAAATGCTTCAGTTGTCTTTTGCAATTTGGGGGGAAGGGGAGGCCCAGAGGCTGGCAGAGAGGTCTGGATTTTGGAAATGGTCGCCTTCTTTCTCCAAACTGTACTTAAAAAAAAAAAAAAATTTTTTTATGATCCTGTTTATTATAGTCCAAGCTGCCTAATTATGTCACTGCTGGTTTTTGCAACTAACTTAATCCTCCTGATCCTTTATGAAACGATTCCTAGACACTGAATAATGTGTCCACCGCTCCCTCAGCCCCTAGAGGGGTGAGACTGATTTTTATTTATTTTTTATTTTTTTACCTTTTAAAAACCACATAGCTGAAAACAAACACCCCAATATTATATATTCCTGCTAAGCAGCAGGAATATATAATATGTAGGTATCGGTTCCTGTGTCTCCACAGGAGAGCCCAGAAATAGTGGATCACATAAACATTCACTGCTTCCCCCCCCCCCCAACTCCTCTTTTATACACAGTGAGTCCCAGCCTAAAGCTTTTTTAAATAGATAAATAGAGCAGTTGCTTTCATGATTATAACTGTCCTGAATGGATTGTCTTCTTACAACATCCAATCTGTTTATGAGTATTTACTTTACATTAGCCCAGGGACCCTGCGCGGCAGGAGTTTGCCTCTATTCCCCTGGGTGTCTGTGTCTCAAGTCTTACATCTGCTCTGTGATTGATGGAGCCTTGAATCCACGTTATTACTCTCTCACAAGCAGAAATCAAACAGGCTATTAACTACATTACTTCAAAGAACTGTTTCAGTGCAATCTCCTTATCTTAATTGAAAGTTTCTTTGTATGGATATTTGCTACACAGATAATTTACAGGTGCCTATCAAGCATCATACGAAAGGGGGTAAAATAAAAGGTGGCTTTTTGGCCAGTTTTTGTTTTGTTTTGTTTTTGTTTTTGTAAACACACACCATTGTGATCTATGATTTTAAAAGCCATTCATAGTATTGGACCTGAGATTTGATTTATTACGTTTTATTATGTTCATGGGGGTGGTGAGGATGGTGCTGTAAGAGAGAGAGAGAGAGAGAGAGAGAGGAGACACCCCTGTGATTCAATTTTGAAATTTGCCACTCATCTGATGGCAGGGCTGAAGATTTCAAACATATTCAGACCCAGATCCCTGCAATTGTTAACATCACAAAAAACCTTATCGGGGAGTTTGCGAGGAGAGAGATTACGCAGCAGGCAGCGCCTACCTTGAGCAGACATAGAAACAGGGTTTCTAATTAGATAAAGTCCCTTACAGATGCTTAAAGACATATAGCGCCACAAACAGTACAAGTTGCTTAGATGCTGTGTAAAGAGCTGTGTGTTTTCTGAGAGATTTAATATACAACCGAGGGATACCCTCAGGCATTCTTGTTGAGATTTCCTACACAAATGCTGCTGCATTGGTTATACAGGAAACTGACTCAGAGTCGATCTTATATATGATCTTGTCAAAATACTGCAGCTCAAGTTTTTTAATATAGGATTACTTGAACTGAATATATATATTTATGCAAACACGACAGACACACTGAAGCCCTAGGCATCTCTCATGTATTTAAAAAATTATGTAAAATGCCCCTCAGTCAAGTCCATTCATATGTTAAAAAATGAACAAAATGGGTTATTCTAATCAAATGTCTGCAGTATGCATCATAAAGTTAAAGAGAGAGAGAGAGCAGAGCAGAGGGCTGTAATTTCTCTTTATAACCCATGTTTATAAAATAGAAAGATCAGATGAAATTTCAAGGAAGATAATTAAAGAGTGATGTGCAAGTCATAATTTGGCTAATGGAAAAGCTGGGAGACTGTGAATTGTTATATTGTCCTCCTCCGTGATGCAGACTCGTGATATTACTTTAAATTATTAAAATAGTTTTTCGACATCTTTCAGAATACCGGCTGTTTGGCATGGGCTTTTATTACTTATTGTAATTGGAGGATCTGCCATTTTCTCTCGTTTATCTCTTTGTGTATAGGAGCGAGATAGATCTTTTGCCTTTTATTACTTCCCCATGTTCTGAATCAAAAAATGTGGTTTAGATAATGCTTAAGTGCCCTCATTCTTACTGCAGCGGACCAGGGCATTAGGAAAAGGCATAAAAAATACACACAGAGGGTCTTTCCACCTCCAGTCCACTGAGTATCTGTGCTCTCTGCCCGGGTGCATTAACTTCAGCCATGTGAATATAATTTTCATTAAAGTAATCCTGTTTCAACTAGATGCTGTGACTAGAGGTGAAACGTTGCGAAAGCGTTAAAAATAGCTTACTAGTAATTTCAACATCCTGTAATTTTATCACAGATCAAGTTTCAACTGTCATACTATACAGACCTTATTCCCCATACAGTACATGTTTACTTTTTTAGCATTGCCAGACCCACTTTGGAAAGATTGGTGCCAATATAATAAGATCGTGAGTGGGGGGGGGGGGGGAGTACTGGGAGGAGGAGTGGGAGGAGAGCGGGGGAGGGGGTGGGGGAAGCGAGTACACCATTTTACATCAACACTGCGAAAATGCAATCTAGCCTGGCGGAGGACAGGCAGCTGGGTCGGAGCGAGAGAGAGGGCTTTGCAGTCTCTCTGCCTGTTCCTTGTTCTGTCGCTCTTAAGTTTCTCTGTGTTTGCATAATAGCCGTGCATGCAAAACCTCGCAATTCTCCAGGGCTCCAGAACAATAAATATACACATGTAAAGCCTTTATTGTCTACGGTTCATGCCCCCCCCCCCCACCTCGGTTTTCAACAGCTTAATTTCTGGTGGTATTTAACTAGTTTGCAAATGGATTTTTTTTTTCTTCCAGTTTCAAACTATTATTTGAGGAAGCTCCCCTCCCCGCTTTGGGATGGGGGAGGGCGTGGGGGTTGGGTAGGAGTCGGTATATTATTCCTGTAGCGCTGGGTTATATAAACACATTATCATTTGAGAGCGCCCTTGGCGTCCATCAGCATGGTAAACACGTACTGGTGTATATACTTCAAAATTAAAGAATGCACATGCAGAAACCGGGAGCCCGAATTCATATTCCGAGCAGACTCGCCGCTCGCGTTTATTGATTTATCATGCATCGTTTATTGTTCCAGTCCCTTAAATGCAGTCTCTGTCCGTTCAATATTGTTTGCAAAAAAAAAAAAAAAAAAAAAAAAAAGAAAGAAAGAAAAAAAAAAAAAGAAAAAAAAATCCCCGAGATGTGTGTGCATTGCTCACTTGTCTTGCTGCTCTTTTTATTTATTTATTTTATGCTGAGTTTTTTTTTTTGCGAAGCGAACAAATGTATTAATATTTATATGTTTATATAATCGATAACCCACTTTCCCCCTCCTCTGTAAATAGGCATCCGAAGATGATTTAACAGATTAGTTCTCGAAAACATGGCAGTGAGGAAGCGTCATTTAACTATCAAACAAATCTACATGTCTAATAACAGCAAATCTGCTAAGGAGCATTAGAAAGAGGAGCAGCGCCCCGGAATCTCTGCAGGAAATGTTCTTTATATTAGACATATACAAGCAGGTCCTGTCAGCTGCACAGCGGAGCCCGTCTGCTCTCGGCTCCCCCAAAAAATCCCATCGGCCGACACCCACCGGCGAGGGAGACTGGGGAGAGGGAGATCTCATCTTCCCGCAGTTTCGGGGTGGATTTTATTTTTACAGACCTTCCTATATGCTTTTTTGCCTCAATCCATCCGCTCCCCGCCGAGGTCGGACGGAGCCTCTCTCCCGGTTATGAATTTGATCCGCCTGCCTTCGGAGGGGATCCTGCTCGGTTTTGACAGGAGCCCAAAATTGAGTCGTCAGAGAAATATTAGGACACATTTTCAATCATTTTGGTGCCGCAGGGGAGGCGAGAGCTCGGTTTTATATTGAGACATTACGCCGGCTGAAGACGGAGAATGCTTTCCCCTGCCAGGACCTGATGCAATCCATTCAAGCCAACAAGTTTGGAGAGAATGTTGAGTTCAATCAATTCAGAACGTCGAGATGGAGCCCAACTCACTCCAGGTATTTTCGCTCTCCTCCGCTCCTCCGATCCCGGCACCCCCCGGCACCCCCCGGCACCCCCCGGCTCACCCACACCTCCACACCCACCCACACCCCCCACAAACTTTTCACCAAACTTTTACCCTCTGCATCCCCCCCCCCCCAAAATCATTTTTATTGTTTAAAAAAAAAAATCCCTGCACTGATCATACATACATCATGTAATTTTACCGCCTCGGATGGAGAGGTAGGGAGAGAGGTTGGGGTGGGGGGCCCCTCCGGAGGGTTTTTTTTTTTTAATTTAATTTTTTATTTTTTAAGGGAAGCAGAAAATTGGTGGGCTCTATTATTTTTATTTTTTATTTTTACACCCAGCTTTCTATCGGATGGCCCTTCTGTATTCAGAGTGTGGATGTCTGTGTGTGTAAATGTGTCTGGAAATAGATGTGTGTGTGTGATCTTGATGGCTACATTATTTATTTGGTGTTGTTTTTTTTTTTTTTTTTTTTTCCTCCTTCTTCTTCTCCCCCCTGCAGTGGGTCGGCTCACCGTGTGGCTTGCACGGACCTTACGTTTTCTACAAGGCTTTTCAGTTCCACCTTGAAGGCAAACCAAGAATCCTGTCCCTTGGCGACTTTTTCTTTGTAAGATGTACGCCAAAGGATCCGATTTGCATAGCGGAGCTCCAGCTGTTGTGGGAAGAGAGGACCAGCCGGCAACTTTTATCCAGCTCCAAACTTTATTTCCTCCCAGAAGACACTCCCCAGGGCAGGAATAGCGACCACGGCGAGGTGGTAAAACTTCTCTATCTCCCTCTCCCCTTCCCTTTATGATTTCCCTCTCTCCCGTAATGCTTATTACAGGGCAAGCTCGGAAAATACTGTATTCACTTCTGCAGGCGAGGAGCAGAGGAGCAGGCTCGGCTCCTTTTTTAAAGGGGTAGCGCCACTAGCTGGGGCTCGAGCATTTTTGCCATTGTCAGAGTTTGGCTGTCAGCTCTACAAAGAGGATCCAACTGCTGATTTTAGTCGAGATCAGATAACTTGTTCGGAGAAGGTTTTTTTTGTTCAAGGATGTGTGTGTGTGTGTGTGTGTGTGTGTGTGTGTATGTGTGGGTGTTCGCTTTCCTGCTATCCCCCCCCCCCCATCACAAGCTTTTATTTTATTTTTTAATATATATATAGATAAATATTTTTTGCCTTTTGAAAATGTACCTTCGCATCTGGCTCGCTCGGGGGCTGGGCAGATGATTTCTTTTTCGGTGGGTTTCGATATTGTGCACGTCTTTTTTTTTTTTTTTTTTTTTTTCCCCTCCTCCTCCTCCTCCTCCTTTTTTTTAAGTTAAGTATTTGATATGTTTAAGAGGGCGGAAATTACGAAATGGAGGCAAGCGTGAGATCAAAAGCGATTGAGTTGGCAAAGACGTGTTGAATAAAGTGATAAATGACAGGTACTGGAATAATACATTCAAAATAACTTGCAGATCTGCCCGGGCGGATTTCAAAGCGGCCGTGTAACCGGCACAAACACGTTAAGCATTAACAACTATCTCTCGCCCCCACCCCCCTCCCCTCGCCCTCCCCCCCCTTCCCTCCCTCCTCCCCCCTCCCCCTCGGACAAGCCATTTGATGTTCTAGTTTCCAATGACTCCACGCCAAGTGGACGCCTTCCAGCGCGATCTATCTGCGGGGCCGTGTGGGACGGGGACTGGGGCGGGGAGGGCAGGGCAGAGGGGTGTGTGCTCGCCCCCCTGGCCTGCGGGTCCGGCGGCGGCGGCGGTGTCCCGGGCGCCCAGACGGCGCTCCCGGGGCGGGTGGGGCGGGTGCGGAGGGCCGAGCCTCCCCGGCACGTTCCCGGGCGGCCGCGGGGGCGCTCGCCGCGCTCCCGGGAGGGGACGCCGAGGTGCGCCCGCTGTCACCGGGCGCGGGGCGGGCGCCTCCCTTGGGCTCTGTCATGTCATTCTCTCTGGTGCGGCCGCAGCTCTGCGAGCTCCCTCCCCGTGTCAGCTGACCGACCTCCGAGCCGGGTCCCTAACCCGGGAGGGGAACTATTTTGGGGAGCCCGTGTGCCCACGGTGCCGCGGGGAGCGAGGGCGCAGCGCCGCCTGGCACAGGCTTTGTGTTGCCCAAAGCGAGAGCGAGCGAGAGCAGGGTGAGCACACGGAGACTTTTGAGGGCAGCTAGCTTGGTGCCAGGCTCTCGAGCTTTCGAGGTAGGTAGGTGTGAGGATCTTTTTTTTTTTTTTTTTTTTTTTTTGTTAAATGAATGGCTCCCCCCTGTTTAACTCCGCCCGGAGCTTGGGAGCTGCTGCCCGCCAGTCCTTGCAGAATTTCCTGGGTCCGGTGGAGTGGATTGCACTTTTTTTTTGGCATCGCCCATCCACTCCCTCTCCCCGGGATCGAGTTACCCATCAGTGGTCTTTGCCGGGTAATTACCGGAGTTCGTCCAAAAAAAAACGTTCGCCCTCGGAGGCCGGCCTCTTCGGGAAATAAGCCCCGCCCTCCGCTCAGAGCACCACCCCTTCTCCCCCCCCTCACCCTCCCCCCCCTCCCCAGCCCCGCCCTCCGGGGCCAGCTTAGGGTTTTAAATGTTCATGTTTCCCCATGCCTGCTTGCAGTTTTATAAAGGTGCTGTTTGCAAATGCTGCGAAAAATCCTGCTGCAACCTACCAACAGGTTGAGCTCTCTCCCCCTCCCAACGTCTAGCTCGACCCCCTCCCCCGACCCAACTTTCCTGCGCAGCTGTCTTCCTCCTCTCCCGCCCGCCCGCACCCTCCCCCCTTCCTGATTTCTTATTTGCTTTTCAAATTTATTACTTCAACAAGGCCTGTGATCTGGAAAAGGAAGGATTAAATATCCAGAAAAAGAGCTGATGCCTAATAGACTTCTGACTAAACCCAGAAGGAAATTATTCAGTGTTTTATGGGATATTTTGTGGTCACTTTTTTTTTTAAATTGAAATTGGAAAAAAAAATTTTTTAAAGACCCCCACTTGGTCCGTTTTTAATTCCTGTTGGTGTAATTAAATAGTGAATCCTGATTTAGGAATAAAAGCCAATATTTTTAGCGGAAGGTTGCATCTGTTAGATCTGCTGATACTGAATAGATGTATTTTTAAATACACGGTTTAAAAAAAAAAAAGGTTCATTATGGGAAAATGAAAGTGAACCATTGTAATGATCTGTGTATTTTGTTACTGCTATAGAAGCCATACCTGAGAAAATTAATCTTGCCGTTTAAAAGTAAACTCCAGGGGATTTGGGGGGAGGGAGATGGCTCTATTTATAATCCTCAGCTGCATATACATCGTCTAATATTATGCATGATTTGTTTTTTAATGCTAACATGGCTGGTAATTAGCTGTATGATTATACTTGTATATTTCATTAGGACTTCGGCTGATGTCATTGTGAATTATTCAGCCATATTAAAACAATTTTCAATTGAGATAATGACACGCCTCAAAATTATGCAAATGCAGGCTGCATTGTGCAAAATAATTATGACAAATGTAAAGCAGGTAGAAAGTTTCCCAATGCAGATCAGCTTTCCACCCCGGTGATGTCATTTTCCCCCCTGGCCTAGGTTAGTCATTCATTAGCAGAAAGGCAGCAGCAGTCTCCTACAGAACCCTGCACTTACTGCTGGCACCTGGGGGGGGGCAACAGGGCCCTCTCATTAAGGAATTTGCTTTGTTTTCACTCACTCCATTAACTTGTTTATATACAGTGAAATGATTTTTATTATTGATTTTAAATAGTTCTGAACGATGCCTCTGCCATTTACAACGTACAACCGCAAGAGAAAAGGTTTCTTGGTGATGTGCACTGCTACTTGGAGAAAATGTTCAGCACATTTAATCAGCCAGCACAGTTTATTTTAAGTAACCAAATGGAGGTTAATAATTTCCTGATTGAGCTGACATCAGCATCCATTTCCAAAGGACAGCCAGGACTTAGTACGCTTTTTTGGGGCTTGAGAGAAGCAGTCTGTCTTTGTATGATTTCTTGAGGTGCAAACACGTCAGTTCTAAAAGCAGGAGAATTGTCATTGTGCAGAGATTACAAATAGCATCCCTGTGTGCTTTGCTGTGATTGGCAGAGGGCTCTTTGCACGGCTGTTTTCTTGCTGACCTTTATAATGATTGTGTGAGGCTGGAGAAGGCGGGGTTTCGTATGCCCATTTTACAGATGTAGACAAACAAAAGCTTGCAGGGTTTATAGGGTTTGTCAAAGGTTGCCAGGCTAGCAAGTAGGCCTTTTTTAAAGCTTTAGGGTTAGTTTATTTTTCCATGGAAACCTACCCTTGAAACCAGAGCCTGAGGACATCAGATTATGTTGTAGGAGTGTGTACTAACGTGAACAATTTCTTAAACATTTTGAACTATGACTGGTTAATTAGCTTTGCCAAAGGTCACCAGATGTGTAGGTGGCAGAACCATTTTTATTCTATAAAGTTCAGCTAATGCTAGCCAGTGGTCTATGACAAGAACAGTTACATTTTAATAACATTATTAATGACCATTAATACTTTATTTTTAGTTTTAATAATTAGGATAATGAGTTGCATGCTTATATACATTGCCGCCTTCATTTACTTCCAGCAAGAGTCACATCTTGATTCTGCAACTTACTATTTATATGATGATTGAGTAATCATCGATACTCAGAGCCTCAGTTTGTTCAGCAACAAAATGGGAACAATAATAAGGATTTCTGTGAGTATGAGGAAGTATTGTATCAGCAATAGGTTTAAGAAAAAGAGTTATGATTATGGTGATCATTATTCTAGATATTCTTAATTTATAAACAATAAACACAATAATATTTATGTCTATGTGGAGTTTCATGGGCCTAATCATGTTTTAAGTGAGCATGAAAGTGAATAGCAAGGCCATATGCAAGAGTTAAGTGTCTTCAGTAATTACCCACAATTGCCACATTCAGCCAGTAGCTCTTCAGAGGAGGAAAATGGCAAAGTGGGCGGGTAATTGGTTCTGTTCCTGGGTAACTTCTGATTACATTCATTTTCAAATTGCCAAGTGCTTGATCTATTGGCAATATTCCCTCTTAAAATAAGATAGGTGGATGTGTAAGCATGGATTTCAGCCTGGCTGTCCCCGGCTGCATTCTGCAAGGTTTGCTGGTAATCTGCAACAGCGAGTGTACACGAGTAAACTAATGATGTCCGGGAGTCAAGATCAAGCTCATCCGGGCATTGTAGATTCTGGCACACAGGCAGGATTTCTAAAAGTGGCTTGATTCTCAGCCTCACCATGGGTTAAAAACAGTTTAAAATGCATAGTCTGGAACCAGGTATGGAAATTAACTCGAAGCCCTGGCTGAGTAACTCTGTTGATTAGAGCATCATCCCCATAGGCCAAGGTTGTGGGTTCGATTCCCCATCAGAGTACATATAAGGATCAACCAATGGATCCATAAATAGGACAAATTGATATCTCTCTCTCTTTCTCTCTCTCTCCCTTCCTCTCTTTCTATAATAAAACTAAATTTAAAAATTAAAAATAAATAAATTTACTCAATTAGAAGCTCTGGACTTGGGGTCCAGGATTCTGTATTTTAAACAGTTTCACTCTAGCTGTGTGATCTTGGACAAATGGTAAATTCCCTGTGCCTCAGTTTTCTCTTCTATAAAATGGGAATATAGTGCCTACTTCTTAGGATTATTTGAAAGGTTTATATGAGTAACTACATGTAAAGTGCTTACAATGGAGGTTGGCACATAGTAGATTTTTCAGTAATGTCATTATTTTCATTAGCATGACTGTTATTG